TTCCATTGGTTACATGAACTATTTTGGAAAGATTTGCTCGTATTGATTTAACTGATTGCAAATACGAATGCATTTCTTTGTAAAGAGATGAAGATATCCATCCATCTTCTGTGCTATTGTTCAAACACAATTGTTCTTTCCGAATATTGCTTGTGTTCAGTGAAATTGATGTCAAATCTATTGTGTAATAGCAATAGGCTATCAATAACGAAGTGACAACTAAGAATAGAATGAACAGTATTGTTTTTCGACCGACCATTAGGCGGATCTTATTGATTGAAGCAGAACTTAACTGCATGACAGCAGACAAGTTTAGAATAACAAGAATGGAGAAGTTTCTTCTATGTATGACAAATTTGGTGTTGGCTACGTTTGGTTCTAGTTCTGATTTTGCTATAATACGAATCAATGTCTAAATTGTTCCCGCGTCTTGCAAAATACCGGGTAATTTTTCTCGCAACCATATGTCAAATGAATTTGCTGTTCGACTATAATTTTAATGATAGCTTGTCTCAAAATCAATACTTTTTTGTCCGCATTGCGAGTTTATTTAAAAATACGCTGTTTAGGTTGTGACTTGATTCATTTACACAATATTTCTTTCCTTTCGTATATAAAGTAGTTGATGCGTAACAAACATGGACAAAATAGATTGGTTACCTTGATGCATTTTTTTTTTCTACTTGTCAAGTGCGCCGATTGATTTTTCTTCATAGAGAGCAACTATAGAGCCAGGGAGTTCGAATCAAGACGAATAAAAAAAAATATGTATTGACAGTAAATTACGTATTATTATACATCGAAGTGTTCTAACAAACTATGTGTAGAACGCCTTGTTATCTTGAACGACTCTTTCGCTTGGATGGATGGAACCATTTTAACTCTTTCTTTACCAATAGCATTTATAAATGTCATTTTTTTGAAAGTTTCGTTCTCTTGAGCTATACGACATATAGAAACTAATTTTATACTAAATTAACACACATCTATTCCAAATTCTATAACAATGATCCGAACATAATATTCTTCATAAAATGTTCACTTATTATTCAGACAAATATACAATGTTATGATATATGCTAGAGTCGTGTCGTACGACAGTCCCAATGTATAATTAATCTAACAGATCAGTGTTGAATTTTTCTTTTATTTTTCAGATGGTTATATATTTGAATGAACTAGAAAGAAAGAACGAAAGAAAGACATTTGAAAAGAAATACAAATGAACGAGAAAAATGTCAGAAGAATAGCAGAAGAAGAGGACCTTTTGAAAAAAACCAAAGGTAAAGGAGAAGACACACATATGTCATTCTTATCATGTGTGCTGCATAGTAGAAATGAAGATCAGAAGAAAAAAAATATGGAACATAAGTGAATCATTCTAAAAAAGAAAGTGAAGGAGTATGTTTGTTACAGTATACTGTTATACTGAGTAGTACATATTTTGTCTTGCTTAAAAAAAGATATGAAGACTATTGAAATTCATTTCATCCATAAAAATTGGCTTTTATCTTATATCACCCTGTATATATACTGTTAGAATATTCGAATAAATACTGAGATATATTATTTCCTCATTTGTTAAAGACTTTTCTTTAATGATCTTGTAATGAATTATTGATTAGAGATTGTATTGAATTGATATCTGGGTGAAAATTGTAACAAAGAGACATTAATTAATCAAGCTTACTATTTAGTATAATATATCACATGTTCAAAACTTGTCTTCATGTTCAATATTTCTTTTTTCAGCTAAGTTAAAATTTATAACTTAGACCTAGAAAAAATAATTCTCAATAATACCAATG